AATGTCGGAGGAGTTCAACCGACAAAGTTTCATGTAGCGTATTAATTATATAGATACTACGATTTTTAACACAGTTAGAAATGAACGCATGAAATTTATTTCTCAGTGTCTAAAACACGGTGGCATTTACATTCACATTCACTACTAGGTCTCACAAGACCCCTCATACAGAGGAGTGTGTGACGGCTGGTAGGCAACGTGTAAAAGGTAATACAAACACTTTAAAGAGAAAGCGGTCCCAGCCCATCAACTGTTTGTGGATATCCTGGGAATTAAATCAGCCTCTCTCGTACTGAGCTCAGAGACACTAACCACTTGGCTAGAAACACATGACATGAACAAATTTCTGACAAATCAAATAAATGTCTTCTATCCACAGTGAAATGAGGTTTAAGGATTTTTGGTACCAACTCAAAAAAGTAATTTGATAAAAGTTAATTTTTACCATGTTATAACTTTTTACTTTACATATATTTACTAATTTTGTATTTGTATGTGCACTATTTTGCGTCTATCAATCGAATATTTCAAATTATAATACTGAAAACCCAGTGACTCATGTTGAGACAGATGTATCGGTGATCAGCTATACTGAGCCAAGATAATAGAAGTTATACTTTATTTTATCTTCACTGTGCCAGCATGAGCACATTATTTAGCTTCATCATTTTGATAATCAAAAAGAGAGTTTTCCACTTTTATAATTTTTGCAGAAAATACTCAACGGGTATAACTTGCTAAGATATTAAGATTTAAAAACTAATATAATTATGAGTAATGGTGACTTTTTTTGTTAATATTTTAAGTGTTCGGTTATTAAAACCTTAACAATGTTATCAACTTCTATGTACCCTGTATAAATACATGCAATTTTTTTTATTGAAAAAGGAATTTAACCATCATACCTTATGATTCTTCTTCAATAGTTTTTTCCCTCTCTAAACTTAAGGTGTCAAGTAATTCACTGGAGAACAATTACTTTCAAAGAAAAAAAAAACACACTTGAACATGAATAAGGTAAAGAACCAAACCTTTGTTATCACTAATGAAGTTAGTAGTCTCCTGTAAGTACCGGTAAGCAAAGATAAGTTATCAAGCGAGTGCAAGGATGCAAGGGTAGGTGCAGGATAACAGCACAAAAAGCAGAGCTCGAAACACCAACCATTCACAAGCATAGAAAGAAATTAACTTAGGCAGAGTGTGTAATAGCAAGCATTGAGCGTGATGTGCCCAATAAATTAAGTTCTTATATCAGTTATACTTTCGAACTTTGCTTTTCTACTGTTTCCCACAGTTATTGGCTTTATGTTAGGTTAAGATACCTCACCATAAAGCCAATGTGGATTGTCGTTTGATTTATTCCAGCCCTTATAAACATTAATAAATAAAGCTTTGATAATATAATATACTTTGTTAAGAATCCAAGAGTTATTCATTGTTATATAAACTTTAGTGATTGATGGAAGACCCGTTTCATGTTAACAATTCAGCCTGAATGCAATTTTAAATGAATTCTCTGTTGTTTTACAGCTTATACTTAAATTTTTATAAAACTAAATATAAAAATTGAAGAGCTGGAATAAATTAAGTGAATGAAATAACACTCTCCAAAATATTGTTTAACCAAATTTATTGGGCAACTCTGTTTACATTCAGTTGTGTTTCCATAACCAGTGTTATTGTTAAGAGTAGTTTCTATGTTACATATAAAAATATGACACTATGAGAACACTACAGTAGTTAGTTAAATGGTAGGCCTAGTTACTAAATTGCTAGAATGCTATAAATTTTAACTCCTTGAACTTCAAAGGAAAATTATTGAAATTTTTTTATTTTGTAAAACTGGGCTAAAATATGAAATATTCTTTTACAATATTGACAAGGAACACACTTGACAAAGAATATACAAACAGAGCTTCATAAAATTTGTTTAATTGCTGTAATTTCATATCTAGCAAAATCAATACCTCCCTCAGTAATTAGTTATACAACATGTTTAACTTTATGTCTTAATATTAAAGTAAAAATCATCTTAAAGCATTTAAATGACTAGAATACTTTTTTACTGTTATGTTTTGTTGCTTTTTTATTTATTTAATAAATACATTTATAAATGCATCCTTTCTCTTTAAATATCCTTAAAGACGAGTGCATTCTTGTCCTAAACTAAAAAAAATCTTAAAATACTCCTTAGTCCTTATTAACCATTTTGCTAGTAGAATAGACATCTTTTACTTTCTTTGGCACATAATGTTAAGACTAGGACATCAGGTTTTCTTTATTTCTGATGTAGAGATGTTTTATGATGCAATATTTACATTTTGGAATAGATCATAATTTATATTGTACACCAATTAAGTTCAGAGAAGAAGAAATTTTACTCGTTTAAGAAATTTAGCACCCCAAAAAGACTACAGAATAAGGAATAATATGTAACTTGAACTTTCAATTGATTTTCTTTATGTTTGTATATACAACAAATAAAAAAAAAATCAAGTTACAACATTAAAATGCAGTTAGTGCTTTATGTACACATAAAGATTAATTAAAGAAATATTTTTTTTATGAAAATAAGAGTGGGGTCATCAGTATTTTTTTCTTCAGATGGAATTTATTTGTAGTAGAAATAATCATGTACGGTAATATTTGTATACAGTACTATAGATTTATTTATATTGTTAGGTATAATATCAGTGTCAATAATAATCTACTGTAATGAGTTAGATAAATACAATTCAGAAGCAGAAAATATTCTATAGAAAATGATAATGAAAACCATTTTTGACCATTTGTGAACTCTTATAATTAATGCAACTTTTTGATTCAACGCTAATTACTAAAGATCAACAGGCTTTTTTACATTACATCTTAAAATTAAATTACTTGTATGAACCTCTATAAGTTATTTAGAGCAGGTAAGGATGAAATCGTAAAAGATTTTTTTTTCACAGATAAAATATTAAGAACTTATGATTTAGGCAGAGATCTAGGATTTCTTATCATATAAAAGTCACCAAAAAAATTAGTAGATATGTACTAATTTTTACAATGTGCGTTACAAGGTTTTTTGGAAATCTTCAGAACATAATACTAGTTTCTGTTTTTCAGAATAATAGTATTACTGTGATGATACAAGCTGAAATAAGCAATTGAAATAGATAATATTAGCAAATATTCAATTAGTACAGAAGAGCGTTTAAAATCTGAATGTCAAAAATCCAAACCGCTCCAGAGTGTTTTAAAATATTGTATCAGCACTGAGACAACAGATGTTTTACAATCTCGCAGGCCAAACAAACGGCGCCTGGCGAGGAAATGATTGAATGCGCCGAGCCAGTCAGTGTTTTTTTTTTCGTTTCCAATGTAAAACTATACATATTTTTTATAATAAACGAACTAAACAATGTACCAAAAACACCTAAGTACAAAAACCAATGTTTTTATTTTATTTACTGTATCATAGAACTGTATTTTTAATACAGGGCTAATTATGTGTCTATTAGGCATTTCTAGGTTATGTTTGAATATCCGAACAAATAGGTAATCTGAACTACCTATGGTACCAATTGGTTGGGATTTTTGACGCTCTACTGTATAGGTAAATGGTTTTCATTTACATTGACTAGATTATGGCATTGTTAGTATTGACTAATGTTATTTCCAGTTAAATTCAACTGAACTGGAGTACCATAAAATGAGAGGATAACATGTTTCTACAATAAGCCTGGCTAGGTTACAAAGCACATTTTAGGACTGGACAGGGTTGACAAGCACATGCAGGTAATAAACTTACAAATAAAAAACTGCAGATCAGAGAGTTTGTGGGTCTATTGAAAGGTGATATCAAGAAATAAATCAGTTCTATTATAGCGGTTTTGCTACACTGTACATTTGTTTAGACCATTTTCATAATTTTTTTTTACATTAAGTACGCCTATGCAGTTTCAAGATATATTTCTTTACAAGCTCATGTCAAACCAAACCAGAGTTCTAAAGCAAACTTTTAGTAGATAATAGTTTGAGTCCATGTGTACCTACATACTTATGACGGATTGATTTATTCAATGAAACAGATCCATTTAACTTGTATAATCAACAATGTTGATTTTCGGGGTTGGTGGATGAAAACAGTAGTGAATCGATGATGTGATGGTTTTAGGAAAGATTCAAAAGATACAATATTTTTATTTACAGTTAAGTTTGTTTGTATAATTGTATGGAAGGTTATTTTTTCATAAATTTGGTAAGTTCTACAATGTGTACCAATTTTTCCTTTTCTAACAGTATGAGCTTGAACGGATAAAAGTTTATTGTAAAAATTGCTAGTATGATTTTTTGGGGAGCGAGCTGGCGTAGTGGTTAGAGCGCGGGACTTCAGTCCCTGAGGTCCCGGGTTCGATCCCCGTCAAGTCACCAATGGATTTATCTAAGTGATAATGCCGGAACCCCTAGGTCTAGCCTGAAGTAATGTGAAAAACAATCCCAGGCTCGTGCCTAGCGTCCTAGGACAAAAAAAAAAAAAAAAAAAAAAAGTATGATTTTTAAGGGAAACACAAAAGTAAAAGTTATTTATGATATAACAAAGTTCATCATACGTTTTTGAAAATATTGAGAAACTGAATGAATATAGATACCTAATTAATTAATAAAGATAATATTTTTTAGGTTTTACTCTACTATTAGCAAAAATAGTTGACTAAACCTTTGACAAGTTTTTATGTAATGATTTAGAAAATAAGCAATATGTTTGCCAACAATAACAATTACAAAAATTAAATAGTTTGACTTTCGAATAATGCCATTTTCTTAATAGGTCTACAAGAAAGTGCATCCTATGAGAAACCCCAATTTTAAGTCTAAGAAGTTTCAAGATTTGATTGTCATTGAATCTTTACAATTTTTTATTATTAGGAACAATTTTGATGCGGCAGATCTCATTTTACATTGCTGATGGTCTCTTAGCAGGGTATAACCTTTGACTATTAAGTATAACACAACTATCATTAACAAAAATATTTATTTTTATCAATAATGTTGCAGTGAACTAGTTCATTGAATACTGGAGAGGAAGACCAATTGCAAATCCACTATTACTGTATTTGCCTTTTTTACTATACTTCACAGTTGATTGATTACTAGATCAACATTGTTTGATGAGTAAGTGGTTTTAATAGTCATGTATAAAAATATAAGAGTATTGTTTTTATCATATGAGAAAAGGGCAGTGATAAATGGACACATTTTGACGTAAAACGGTTTTGCCAACTGTCTAACGTGTTTACCTGGTTGCCTACTTTACTTGTTTACTTCTGTCTTGATGTGATTATTGATGGAGACTATTTGTATTGCTGGTTGGATGATTAACACTCATTACTCATTAGTCATGAGTATTCTATGGTATGATACACACTGTGCTGCAATCTTATAGGATTTCTTTTACTACATTTTGCTTGATAATTAATTAATTTCTCTAATTTACCTTATTTGTATTTTATTCGTACCTCCCATTTATTTTGCATTGTTATAAACTTGAAAAATAACCTAGTTTATAGCACAAACGGAGCTGAGTAATCTAAAATTATTAATTATTCAGTTACATCTTACATGGTTGTGATTTATTAGATTTTGTATACTGTGTCTGTTCCATTGTGTTAATTTGTATTTTTGTTCAGTTTATAGATTCAACCAATACATTTTTTGTTTATTTGTTCCCCTTTATCATAGCGATTGTTATTTTTTATGATTTGTTTTATAAATTGCAAGGTTTATTTTGCAGTTAAATAGTCTATTTTCATTGCACTCAGTAACAATATTGCAGTATTATAGGTAAGTTATCTTAATACTTCACTATTTACCCCTAGAATGTTTAAGTTGTTCATGGTCACCCTTCCCTTCGCTATTCTTCATATCAAGGATCTACAGTACTGTCTATTGAACTGAGTCTAATTGATAATAATACATTTTCCTACATGTTGACCCTTTTTACCAATCCCCAATTTTGCCTATCATTAGTATAATGTACCTTATCAAAATAAAAGTTATTTCAAACACAAATAAATACTACAATTTCCATTTGGAGGGAATTAGAAGGAAGCGGAACACATGTAGATCACATGGAGTGACTTACCAGACAAGTGAAAAACGTTTCTTCTTTGGCACATGATTAACAGTGATTTTTTTTAATGATGCAGGAGTCGCGTTCTTCCTTGGTTTGAAGAGATTTACCTGCAATCCGACCTTGATCTTCTTGGTGAGAGCCCCCTGGGGGAACACTGCCTGGACCTGAGGTACTACACTGGACGAGACCATTCCTCCCTCGGGTCCAATAGCGTGGACCTCTTGACGCACTCGGGTCACAACGGCGAAGTAGTGGGGGAAGTCGGAGGTCAGTATCCTGGTGGTGCGAGCACTCTCATCAAGCTGAGCCAGGTCTGAAACACCATCAACCATTTATTTTGAGGGCCCTTCAAAGAAAGTTTAAGGGTAGAGATTTTTAATTATTTAAAACAAAACATCTATTATTTTGAACGGGGAAATACAGAAAATTTATTTTCTGTTCATTTTAAAATGGCTGTGAGGGGATTAATGTAAAGTGAAAGAGCAAAGGCTTCCCTTCCTCTGCTATTTTACATGAGATTCCCTGCTAATCTGAACTAATTGGAACTGAACCCTGTTTGGACTACCAAATTGTTTTGATTATCCAGGATTGCAGTAAAATTGCATTTAAACTAAACTAAAAATTAACAATTTATTTTTATGACTGTAAATTGCCAAAATTTTGCTCCCAGGATCACAACAAAAGCGATCATCATGTGATCATCTCCCACGATGACGGCGACACCATGATTATCTTCCGTGGTCACAGAAATGTGTTTATCTACCGTCATAGCAGCAACAATTGTGTTGGTCTCCTGCGATTGCATTCACCTTACTACACGACTACCTTAAAAGTAGGGATGGACGAGATTGGATTTTTAGTTCGAGACGAGACGAGACGAGATTTTTTATTTCTCATAAAATTTCGAGACGAGATCGAGACGGGATTTCCCTTCTCATACACAACGGGAAATGCACGTTCAAAAATTTTATCTGATTTTGTAACATTGTTAGATGACTGTTTAAATAAAAAAATAATGATAATAGGCAAGAATATTTACAATCTTTTATTAAAAAACATCAGAATAACATTTTTTTATTAATCACGCCTAAGTTATTAAAAATGCCTACGATTAGGAAACATAGTGATATCAGTTAGGATAGAGTTAAACTTATCCTAAAATAAAATAAATCATAAAATAAAAGCAATATTAATTTTTATAAAATAGTTGGTAATTGTTTTGACTTTTTATAGTAAAAACATTCCTCACGCTGCTTACACAACAAAACTTCTCAAATGTTATTAAAGTAATATTATTAAAATAATTAAAGCAATATTTACATTTAAAGAATTAATTCAATAAGAACGCCTTCGCAAAGGAAACGCAACTACAACACGCTCCTGTATTGCGGGTATTGCATTGACTTTCTGCAGGCGTTTTTAATTTTTTTTATTCTCGTCTTGATAAAAATCTCGGCCAAAAAGAAATCTCATCTCGTGTAACGAGATTTAAAATTTCCCGAAATTTCGAGACTTGACCATCCCTAATTTATACAATTAACACTAAATGGGCGAGTATTCGAGATTTTGAGTTCGAGTAGAGTACGGCCTTGAAACTCGAGCTTATATTTGAACTCGCTAGTTTGGTATAAAATTGTAAGATCAATATTTGTTGAAATGTAACTTGTGTTAGAATAAAATGATGGATAATTTGTATTACTGTAGATTCTACAGTCATACAAACAAATATAGAAATAAGCAAGAGGTAGTTGTCTTGTCCTAACCTATTTTTATAGCTGTCACGACAGAATAGGTCAACTCAAAGCAGTCGCCGGCGACTGACTGGCAATGGTACTGTATACTGACTTGACACAGAATAGAATGACATGATCGGTAGTGATTTTGTTTTAGAGTAGGCCTAGTGTTTCACAATAGAAAATTTCACTACTGAACTGTTACGTAAGCAATAAATTTATGTTTATAAAAGTCAGAATAGAAACACTATAAAGGCAAAACAATAGAAGGGAGGCAGGCGTTGTGCAATGACCTCGAAATGAGCTGAATAGTAACATTGAGTAGGGGGTTGGAAGGGGGGAAGGGAAGGGTGAGACCTTTGAGCTATATTTAGACTAGACTTTCACCACTTCCCAAATGGCTGGGTATGGGGATTACAATAGCAGGTTTTTTCCTTGCCTGGTTTGACTTTTGTCTTTTTGTGTAGGAGATTTGAATAATCAAAAATATAATTTGAATTGACCACAATTATTTAGCATTGATAATACAATTTGCAAGGGACCAGGAGGAAATAGAACAAAACACTAAAATTAATAGAATAACACACAAAGTAAACAAGAAATTAAATACAGAACATGGTGATTTAACACTGTCACTGTCACTCAATTTTGTTGTCTAGAAGGGTCGGTGAACTAATCAATAAATAGCCAAAACCAGTTTCCTCCCCCTCTTCTCTCTCAGTCTCACCACCACCCCTCCCCCCCTGAGCCGGGAGGCCCAGCACTTTGTCCTTGAAACACCCTAGCCTCTGAAACAATAAACCCTTACACCCGCGTTGCTGTTTTGACAACAGGTTTATGAATGTGTTCACTATTTTTCATTTTCCAGAATTAACTATCAATTATTATTATTTGCAAGTTACAAATAGGAAACTATATGACACTATGGTATTCAATTACCCATGTATTATCAAAAATGTATAATTCATTACTTATTTTGATAATAAAAAGCATTCATTACAGCACGCAGCACTTATTGATATATATATATATATATATATAATCATCAAAGTATCTGTTACTTTATACAAAATAAAATAGGTACAAAATTGTGTGGCCAGTCAAACTTTATAAACAAACATTTTATTCTATAAAATACAGATGGTAAATAGGGGTTGGTTTAAAGGAAATAAAATACAAAACAGATTAATTAATTATTTTGATAAACGATAGAAAGGTTATGGGATTGATTGAACTAAAATAACCACAGGGAATCTTAATTAGAAAAGTCGTCAACCACAATCTGTTCAGTACATCGCTAGAGAGAGAGGGGGAGAGAGAGAGATAGCAGATAAGGGCGTTTGATAGGGAATATGAAAAAGTAAACAAACAAGGAACAACGACGCGACAATACTCGTTTATAGCCTTATTGTCTCGACCACTACATTTGCACACGTGACCACTTTTTGTTTCTTCCTTATCTTTCATCCGTCCCAAAATGGAATTCCTGAAATAGTTTGTTGGTATAATCTTCCCTCACACACAAGGCGCAGAGCTCAGTGCGCACTGTAAGTTGCCACGGCAACCGTGTGTCGTCATTAGCGACTTAGCCAATCACGCACGCGCACTGCGTTGTAGATTACGATACGAATAACCCTCTGACTTCGATGTTGTAATTGAATCGAATTTTTGTAATGATGCGTAATGCAGGGATGAAACTGAACATCTAGACAAGTTTAGGTTATTTATTTTGTTCTAAAAATAAAAATAATACATTTAAAGGTCTGACTTATTGATACAGACATTTTTTAGTATAATTTCGTGTTGAGGACACTCGCACGCCGGTTGTCTGAGACTGAATTCTGACCGTCTGACATCTTGAAATGTAGATTGTATTGTGTTGTGCAATATCATCTGCCTGCAGAGAGAACAGCTGAAAATAACCTTTAGCTGTTTTGAGCTAAATAGTGTACTAAGTTGGTTACTAAAGTTGTTAGCGTGATTACTAAACCAATAGATATCAAATAAATAAATGTTAAATAAAATATCTATCCATCCCTGTCGGCTGTCGGTATCGGCGGAATCGGGCGAAATCGATGTTTGGCAATCGATTCTTGATACCGATATTCCTAGTATCGGCAATGTCCGAGTATCGGTGGTAGCGATAATTGACACTTCCCTATCTAAAACTCATTTTAGAGTCCTAAATTAGTTTTAAATATGCATCGGGACGTAATCGTTGCATCGGGAGTTAACCGCTGCATCGGTCTTTTTCGATGCATCGAGGCCAAATCGATGCATTGTGATTTCGATGCATGCTGAATCGAATCGCGATTCAATGCATCGAATCGAATCGAATCAAAATTTCGATGCATTTTCGATGCATCGCACACCCCTAATAATTAATAATAACTGCTGTTCAGTTTTGACTCAACAGTTCGCAGCCCATCGCTGCTCAGTGTCCAGGTGTTCAATTTGGCAACACTGTACGGGGTATGCGCCCAGTCAGAGCCGGTGGCGGTCTGGAAGTGCCGTATTCAGCCTCTGCACTATCCAAATTAAATGTTAACTTAAATAAATAATATGCGTAACAATTTGGTTGAGCAGTATCAATATTTCAAATACAAAACCAATCCCCTCCAAAACAAGCTTTTAAATTTTTTTCTAGCGTTTGCCGTCTTTGAGAAAAAGTTGATTTACAAAAGTTACAACAAAAACTTTTTGGGTAGAGTAAAAATTCTGAAACTACTCAAATTAATTCATTATATATGTGTCCATATTGTATTAAAGTTGGATAAAGTTCTGCCGTTTAGTTTACATTGCGCGAATTTTCAAAGTCATAAGATGGTTTTTGGTACTCTAAAAACAGGCAGTTTTTTCCTTCCGACTGTCATAACAAATTTCCTAAACGATCTAAAAATTTTTTGTTTTCATAGGAATACGTAGAATAAAATAACAAAAATTTATATATACTACGCGTTTTTCTAAGTTATTTGGGTACTTTTCTGTAGAGCTCCAAACTCGAGTGTCTAAACTTTTTTCCCCGACAGTAAGGGCCCTAACAGGGCTTATATGAATATACAGGGTGAGTTTTAAATGAGTTCCCCCCCTACTTTTTTCTACATTTCTTAAGATATCAACTCCGAACCACGTCAGATCATTGTAGAGTAGTAAGTACTTAATTTTGACTGGGTATAACATTTTGGCCACCATCTTGGATCTGCCATTTTGGATACAAAGTTTTTTTTTTCAAATGTAAAGGTAGGATTGTGACCCATCATTTCAAACAATTTTTTTTTGCTGAATATGATGCTGCAATCCGTTTTTAAAAATCTTGATCCATTCTAAAGTTATGAGAACAATTTATAACTTTTTTTTAGCCCATTTTAACATTGCGCAGTTACAAACTCAGACTATAATCGTAAAATAGAGCTAGATAAAGATAAGTATACACCACCAGTCATTGTCAACCTATTTTCACTTGGTTATGATCACTTGGATACAATTATGGTCTTAGTTTGTAACTGCACAATGTTAAAATTGGCTAAAAATACAGTTTTAAACAGTACTCATAACTTTAGAATGGATCAAGATTTTTAAAAACGGATTGCAGCATCGTATTCAGCGTAAAAATCTAGTTTGAAACGATGGGTCACAACCCTACCTTTGCATTTGAAAAAAAAAACTTTTTATCCAATATGGCGGATCCAAGATGGCGGCCAAAAATTTATACCTAGTCAAAATGAAGTACTTACTACTCTCAATGATCTGATGTGGTCCGGAGTTGATATCTTAAGAAATGTAGAAAAAAGTAGGGGGGGAACTCATTTAAAACTCACCCTGTATATACTGGACATTTTTGTATTAATTCAAACATTTTTAACTTTTTTTAGTTTAATTAAAAACACCACAATCCAAACATCATTTTAAAGAAGAAATCAAGTGCTTTAAGAAAATATAATATGTTATAGGGTAGTTAAACTTTTTTTTTTTTTATGACAGTAATGTGATGGGTTAATGGCAAATTCAGAGGCATTTGAATACCCGAGATAGCACACAGGATTATATAATTAACTTAATAATTTATGTTAGATTGTGTGGGTATAGAACAAAAGATAAAAATATTAAGGAGTTACCATCCCTTTTATTGTTTATAATAATTTGATAAAGGTTTTTATGTTTACATATATAACATTGGAGAATTTAAAGGTTGTTGAGTGCACAGCTGTGCTGCGCTTGGGGTGTAATATATTTGGACTTATTCCAAAGTAAAATAGTTTTCTGTGCTGCACTCTGTGGAAACATTGTGGCACTATTTAAATCATGACTTTCGTACGATTATATAGTGCGCTGTTTCACAACGTCCAATTTCATGACGTCTAAAACTTGTAGAAAGACTATATTTTTTGAAGTTACTGTACTTTTGGACGTCGTGGCACTTGGACGTCGTGCAACAGTCAAATATTATGTTTTGAGGGTTTTGACACTGAATAATATCATTGGACATCGTGGCACTTGGAGGTCGTGCAACACTCCCACAATCAGTAGGCCTTAACTTGAATTTTTCGATCATGCGACTTAGCAGACGTGTTGGGTATTGGTATCAGTATCGACTCTTGACGATGGATTCTCGATTCCTATGTCATGAGTCGGTATTATCCTGCTATTGAGAATCGACAGATTCCAAAATATAAATATTAAAAAATTGTATTTAAACCCCTATTTTGTTTAATTTTACCTTCCTTGTCAAAGCTGTGACTAAGGACGTCCTGTACTGCCTCCTCACTGCAGTCCACTGTGTGTTCCCGCCAAGTCTCTCCATTATCTGACCGCAGGATCACAATCTCCCGCTCCTTGCCACGGAGAGATCCAAAATGAGGCACTTCAATCATAACAGGTCTGAAACACACACATTGGATATCAACAACACATTGTTTCGCATCTAATAATTACAGCATTTACTTACTGAATCAACAAAACAGCTACCCTTATTTATAATTCTTATTAGTAAATATAATACCCCTGCCACAGCAAACCTGCCGACTAAGCGAATTTTAATTTGTCTGAATCGATTTTCAATTAAATCTATTTAAATAACATTAGGTTTAACGAGTACCTATGTTTGCTGCTACAAGGAAACTAATAAAGTGCAGATTTTAGTAAAATATTAATAGCTTAGTATAAAAAAATTGAAAAATACTGGGTATTTTCTATAGTTTGGGCTGTTAGGGGAACCAAACAAATTGAAAAACTCTTCTTACTCATAATTTCAGTAAATTATCATAGTATTATTTTAATAGAAGTTAAAGAGATGTCAAGGTATTAGGCTGCAATTTTTTTTTTTTTTTTGATAGATTTACATTGACTAAAGAATACTCTCAAAGTAGTGATAAAGTTCGCCGAGCAAAGCTCGGTCCCCAGTTACTGTCCATAAACAAGCAAACTACAACATTTTACAATATTCTCCTTAAGAATATTAGGAATTTTCAATTTACTATTTTTTGAATTTTCTCCAATACCAATAACGGTACAAAAACACTTTTATATACTAAATTATTTGTTTTTTAGGCTCTTTAAAAATGTTTAGAGAGAAATTGGGACATATTGTGTTTTGAGGGTCAAAAATGAGGATAACCCAATTACTACCCCATAAAACCCCCCGTAAAACCCCCTTCCCATGGTCCAATCATGCTGGTTCGCGAACTCTTTCAAATTTATTCCGCCTTACAACTTTAAACCAAATTTCATCAAAATCGAACAAAAATTACTTGAGTTATCGTGTTCACGGACACATATAGGCCCTAACATATATACAAATTTGAACAAATGGTGTTTTTGGCCTCTGGGGACATCAAAATGAAAAAGTAAATCAGTCCCCTAGGCTGGGACCCTAGGCCTAGGTCTTACCGTGCCACCTACGGTACTTCCCTATAGGGAAATTCGCTAAAAAGGGAGGTTTTTAATCCAAAAATAGTTTGTATCAAAATAACATATTTTTGGTATATTTATACAGTGTGTAAATTAAGTATAGAAACAAATCTGTATTTTTAAAACCGAAATAGATAGAAATATTCTATTTGTGGCAATAATAGTTAACAAAGATTACGCAATTTTTCACATGAAAAATATTTTGTTACCCCCCTAACAGGGTAGGTGGTAGGGGGTGACTTATTTTTTTCAAATAGCAACCCCTATGGAGTGACCCCTCATTTTGAAGGGTTTGTCAAAAGAAACACAATGACGCAAATCCGAGGTGAATATCTCACTCCTAGCTAACATGGCGGATATTCCAAAATGGGCTTTTTTTTACAAAAATTAAATTTTTCATTACCCACCATTTAGGCTAGGGGTGAAATATCTACCTCGGGTTTGCGTCATTCTTTTTCTTTTAACAAACCCTTCAAAATGAGGGGTCACTCAATAGGGGTTGTTGTTGAAAAAAATAAGTCACTCCCACCCCCTACCCTGTTAAAGGGGTTGAAAAAATATTGTTGATTAAAAAAATTGCGGAACCTATGTCAACAATCAATTCCACAAACAGAATATTTCTATCTATTTCGGTTTTAAAAATACAGATTTCTTTCCATTATTTGTGAAATTGGTGCTTTTCACGTACAATAAATCAAATTTTGGAATATCCGCCATTTGGGCTAGGAGTGAGATATTCACCTCGGATTTGCGTCATTGTGTTTCTTTTGACAAACCCTTCAAAATGAGGGGTCACTCAATAGGGGTTGCTATTTGAAAAAAATAAGTCACCCCCTACCACCTACCCTGTTAGGGGGGTAAAAAAATATTTTTCATGTGAAAAATTGCGGAATCTTTGTTAACTATTATTGCCACAAATAGAATATTTCTATCTATTTCGGTTTTAAAAATACATATTTGTTTCCATACTTAATTTACACACTGTATAGGTTTAAAATATAATTTAACATCTTGTAATCTATGCCCTCGATTAAAAATTTTTGCATACAAAAAAATATTAAAACAATTTAAATTTTCCATGAAACTTTAATGTGTTTACAATTTTTAAATGTACATGTTTTGTTACCATCAGATCTCACCGTGCCTTCCCAGGTTCAGCAAACCAGCATATCTAGCCTACTGATCATTTATATGCTCTATCAAATTATACTCTATCATATTCAGTATTCATTAACAAAACAATAACACTAAGAATTAGTTCTCTAAAAACACTAAGTGTTGTTAGCCACTTAATCATTCGTGTAAACAAAAATTAATATTGGTTCATATTTCTTTCACCGCCAAGGTGCTTAGCGAATTTTGAGGCTACCAGCTTTGAATCTCAAAAGGAGTCTTCTTCAGGTCACAAGGTGTCACTTTTCATTAGTTGTTAGTTTTTTTTTCAAAACAGTAGGAATTTAAAATACACACTCAAACCCAGACAAAAACATGTAACAAAAACAAAATGGTTTCTAAAGTGAAATGTGCAGGGACATATAAGGTATAGCAGACACAGACTGATCTTGATTAAGTCAAAAATCGCCCAGCAGTAAAAGGTATATGAACCAACTTAAAGAAAAAATATGAAGGTCACTGATTATTAACCAAACAAGTATCATGGACACTGAGATAATTGAAAGAAATTCTTATTTAATTTGAGGTACAAACAAAAGTAAACACATCTCAATAACAAAACATACCCGAGGAATTTGGCACCGACCGGTCCCAGTTCTAGAATGCGGCTGGCCAGAGCTTCACCCTCCATGAGGGGTGGAGGGTGAGTGAGCTTGTCTCTGCGTAGGTAGCGGCATGTGACCCTCATGGGCATACTGGCCCGGCGCGGAGGTACAATCACCCGGACACCCGAGTGGCGACAACCCCGCATGGCTCCTCCGCGAGCATCCACCAAGAAACTCACCAGGAAACTGAAACAGCAACAAACAAAAAATGTATTAGATGTCAATCAAACAAAACAAATATTCCTATATGTACATATTTGTTTTATGTAAACTTTTACTCATTCACATACATACATTTTGGCACACGATAGTGTACATTTACATTACAGCAACCCGAGGTGGTGTATTGTATCTGATGTAATATTTGTAATCAAGATTTATTTGTTTCTTTAGCGAGGATAGTCTATTTTAAGCCCAATAATCAGGGTCAGCTGGGTCCACTTTCAAACCATCAAAAAGCTATTGTCTTCTCTCAGGATAAAAGTGGCAAACGTTTGATTGTTAGGCGAACACTATAAGTACTACACTCAACTAACCTGCCAATTGATATAGATAATAGACAAGCATCTTGTGAGTATATGTTTTGGGCTCTAAAAGATAACTTGATAACATCTAGGCAAATAATAATGGTTACAACTAATACTCACTTTCTCCATTGTAGTTTCCTTTTGTTTTAAAGCAGCAAGAAAAGTAAATTCAATATTATTGTTTGTTATGTCAGCATAGGCCTACCCTTGAAAATTGTACTCCACTAATTAACACACAATTACTTTACTGTAGTACGTAGTAAAATGGCATTCTTTTACACAGCAAGACCATAAGACATAAGACATTTTTATTTCCAGTAGACATATTTACAATGTATTGGAAGAGTCAAACATTTTTCATGCAGAGCAATTGTCAAATTGAGGAATGTGTTCAGAGTGTACTTTGAAGTTGTGTGTTTTGTTAAAGAAATATTTCAATTAAATGATTTGTATCCATAATTAACAGATTGTTTGGAGATTATAAGTAACTGTGATGACATTTAGTCGCAAAATACTGCAAATCGTATAATATGAGTGATACTTACCCCACATGCAACGGGTGTCTAGCAATATCAACGTTGTCTGGAGAGTAAGTTTCCTTGACATGTTGAGGACTGATGGTGTCGTCCACTGCTGTTGGTGGCACTGAAACCCACATGACATCAACAACAATACACAATGTTTTGTACAAGTTTTAAAAACCTGAGGAGCTTTCTTTTACTTATTTGTATATAACACAGATCCACTGTCAAAAATCATAAAACTTCACTTTTATTTAAAAGTAAATTTCCATTACCGGTACCTTTACTCCTTCATAACTCAGATAAAATATTTATTAAAAAAATGTCAATCCTCACATAAAAAAAATGTCTTTCATTACGACCAAGACTCTGAACGTCAGGTGTGAGCCATATACAATCCTGCACAACCCTTTGGTAAACAAACCGTAGGACTATCTGTGAATTCTCTGGTTTCACATACAATTCTGTAACTGATCAATGATCATTGGCGTCATTGACTTTTCAATTTGAAGTGAAGGTTTGTTTCAAGTTCTAAGTAAAGGGATGAAATTTCCTGAGGGAAAAAACATTGCGCTCCCAAAACCTTTATTTAACGTACCTCTATTGGATCAGCTTCTAGTTTGATCATAACTAATGGGCCAGATGGAACAATTGACTGTAATGTACCTTATTCAGTTATTCACTTGCTGGATGGATAGTGATCTTAGAGATATACAGATATGTTTTAGTGAGTCGGTGGCTCAGTCGGTAGCGTCGCGGACTTCAGGCCCAAGGCAGCGATGTCGTGGGTTCCGATCCTGGTCACTGCCACTAAAATTTATCAGTACAGGTTCACCTTTGTACTGTACCGGCTCACTCCTTGCTATGCCGTAAATGTTACACGCACGGATGCTTAGTCTATGTGGACGGGCAAATGCAAGGTTAAAAGAGGCCGCCAACCTCTTTTTGAAAAAAAAAAAACAGGGAATACTCCCCACATGACACCCCATCTTTGATACTTTTTAACATAGTCCCTATAATAATTTATTTCACAATAATTCCCAAAGGAGATTATAAAAAGAAATATTCATTATACATTTATACATCTATGTGGTGAGTGTGAGTGTAACTGACCAGACATGCAGTCTCGGTTAGAGTCCTGGCGCTCATCTTGCCTAACGTCAATAGGTAGAGAGTCATCTCCCAGACTCTTCATCTCGTCAACTGTCAGGTATCGGTAAGGTTGCTCACTCAGAAGAGTGTCTTCACCTGAAACATCACAACATCACTAAAGATGTAATAATCAATTCCTACGGAGCAGATTATGAAACCTGATATCTGAAAGTCAATAGTCTGACCAACTAGACTGGCACTGTTTTGATGCAACTCAATGCAAAAAAATTCTAATATTTAAATACAATTTATTTTTTGTTCCACAATTTTGAAACATATTTGGAGTGTTTGGAAATAGAGTAAACATACTAATTGTTTTTTTTTTCTATTTTAATCCACAAAATGGGAATCCAATGCATGCTGCTATTTATTATATTTAAGACTAGCAGAGTACCCGTCCTCCGTACGGGGTTGGCATATAAGTATAGAATGTTTATTGCAGTTATGGGTGAGGATATGGTTTAAGAAAGTTTGGTTCTTTTGTTCTACCACTGCCCCTGAACCATGGAAAAAAGTAGAGGTATCATTGTGTAATGCATGTGTTAAATGCAAAAAATAATAGGGCTGCATCCTATAGGTAAGCGTTAAAACCTGTTAATGCTATTTAATATCATAGAACTAACTTGTGCAGTCGAAACAGCTGACAAAATTCTTTAATTCCTTTTGGATATATTTTTATCAAATTTGGCAAATTGATTTATTCTATACTAATTTTCCTAAAATCACACTTCGTAACCCTCCCTGTAGCAGCATAACCTAGATACTCGTTAAACCTAATGTTATTGAATTAGATTTAACTGAAAATAGGCTGCAGGTGTGCTGCGGCGGGGGTATTATGGAATTGTAATTGATGTAGAAAGAAGACTTTGTGGTAGTACATGACAAACTCTAAGTTATATAAGATACAAAAAAAATCAATCCCGTCGGTCCCAAATAGTAGCGTCGGTCGCTTAAAAATTTGACTGGCGCTACTGCAACCAGCGCTACTATTCGTATTCGCTAATAGCTAGCAGCTATACCCGTGCCTTGCTACGGGGTCAGTATGCAAAAGAGTTAATGCTGGTTCTTTGAAAATGCCAAATGTTTTCACTCCCTAACATTTATTTTAGAAATGAAATTGAACTGTATTAGCCTACTTAACTTGATAATAGTAATAGGTCTAGTACTTTTTTGTTAACTTATACTGTGAATACTTATTTAGGCTACCTAGGATACAAGAACAATGATATATTTTAAGGTATAATAAAAGAACCTGTTTAATGGTTTGGACTGTAAACGAAAAGCTATCACAATAGTTCCAAACCTGTCAATAGTGTAGTTTTCTAACATATTTTAGGGAAATGACAATCAGGCAAATGGAAATTCGCTTAGTCTATAGGTTTGCTGTAGCAGTGATATTAAATTACTGTTTACACAAAAATAAATCTAAAACATAATTCTCATAAAACTCAGGATAAGGGCCTAGGTTGATACGGCAATGATTGTAGAATCTTAATTATATCCTATATCTATGAATAATTTCTTTTTACAATGAAATATTCACTATAAAATATTATTACAGCATATCACAAATATTAGAACAGACTCAGTATAATTGAGTATAAACATAAACAAATTATGTAACTGAAAGAATCCTATTATAATGAAATGACATTAACATATGGTTTGACAGCTCCATTATCTAATGTAAAATAATGTTTACATTCAGGCTGTCATTATTTTAAATACTAGCTGTGTGCCCGTTCTACGCACGGGGATCTTATTGTAGTCAGTTATTGAAACCTTTTTATTAAGAACAGAATTTGGTTTGCATATTTTCAGATATGCTGGCAAAACTATTATACAGTATATAAACCTTCGCAAATACAGTAACTGACAGTTTCGTTTCAAGCCAAAACAAATGCTTCGAAATTAAATGTAACCTGGGTCGTGTTGGTCCATATGTTAAATCCAATGATTAAACTAAAAAATGCTTTATAGATCTATGAGGCATAGCCCTAATGTAGGCCTATAATTGAAAGTTACCTTCCACAATGGTTAAAAGTATTTAAGGTACTTTTGTCCTTTCCGTGGAACACTGAGAAATAAGGACATTAATGCTTTACTAACAGACATACACACAAAAATACAGAACTTAATTAGGGGGTTTGCTACGCTTTAAGCATAACAAAGTACTTGTAAAATTAGTATCTAAAATATTTTGTTAATGTCATCAAATTTCATCATAACAATGTATATTTGCTTGGACCGATGATGACCCGAAATGACGGCTTACTATATGAAATGAAGACGACTGGTCCAGGGTGGTCCAGCCACTCTGGTATAGACGATTGGTAATTTATAGTAAATATTACCAAAATAGGCCACTAACTATTGATACATAAACAACGTAAAGCGTTTAAACAATTCATTATGGTTAGTTGAATAAATGTTTTACTAAAGTGCGTTATCGTTTTCTTAGCATAAACTAACATTTTGGAATCAAGAAAGAAAAAGCAAAAATTGTACAGTTAAGACATCAATTAAATTGAATACGCCTGTAATAATAAATAAGGTGCAACACCAACGATAACTAATTTCAATTTGTAAAGTACAGTGATGTGTTGGTACTTAAAAATGATTCTTGCTACTACCAACAGTACCAACGGTTCTAAGGAATAGAACCGGTACCAAAAACCAACGTTCACAGTTGAGAACTATAGTACAGCCGACCAATTATATGAGTTAATCAAGTCCCGAGGTTATTGATCTCTTGGTTTTTGATTTTCTCGTAAAACGTTTTAAAACGGCAATCAAAGTTATTTCCCAATAATTGCTTTATTTGTAAACAACTTTTAATGTAAACTTATCTGTGTCAGTTTTTAAAAAAAACAACCTCATACAAACAACTTTTTGTTATTTAATAGATTAGGCCCTACGTACCTATTCTCTAAACAATGATTGGTAAAGGCTATCTAATAACATTAGAAGGAAATGTGACAAAAATCACACAACGTTGGGTTTTTGGACGTTTGTAATTTTATTTCTTAAGTAGGTAGGCCGTGTATTCTAGGGAAAAGTACCGGTATCAAGGATCGTCGAACAGTTTGTTATGAATAATTGGGTAGGCGTACGTACCCAAGAGCATGGCTGTATGGTCCAGCGATTGTATCACACGGTGAGTAGGTACTATTGACTATGTATATATAGTCAATGGTAGGAACAGAAAATAACACATTGTTACAATCAACCACTGCAGTTGTGATTTTTTACTTACCACTTTACACAACCGCCATTGAAGCGCCGTGTCAATGAGTGGAAACCATATTTCTAAGCCATTGGCGACGATCATTATTAAATTTAAAGTTTCCCAGCCGTATACAACACTGATTCAAGGTCTTCTTTCTGGTTATCAAAACTCAAGAACAATTTATACACAAAGAATCTCTGGTTCCTGAACTGGATGATGCCTAGTTATTTAATTTCATTTACACGGTTACACTATTACACTATATTATTGCACTTTCGATTAATTAAATCCGTTATGTAAGAAAAACGTTTTTAATCACTTGGGATTTACATTCAAAACGTGATTGAAAAAGGTTGCGGTATTTGTAAACAACATTTGTAAACATATCAGTGACAGCTAGGAAAAATAATCTTGATCCGAACAGCTGTTCGTTATTTCATAGATGATTATGCAATAAAAATTGGACGAAAACTTGACATAAATCGCACAAAACTACATTTTTGAACGTTCGTAATATTATTTACAAAGTAGTGAGGCCATATTTTAATGGCTAAAGACAATCTCGCCAATCCAGTGAATACATTAAAATGACTTGGATCTTGATAGGTACTCTCGTTTTCCAGGAGAAGATAGCGTAAAATGCCATCTTGAGTGTTACAGACAAAGGGAAAGACAGACAGACAGACAGACAGACAGAAATTGAGATAAGACTCGTTTCTGCTTATTTAATGTATAAGACGTAAAAATAACCTAAAAATATATAATTCTGAGCAATGTACAGACAAAACTCTAATTTTATTTATATAGATGATCCCTACCCTCTCTGTTCTAATATTCGTGCAGTATTTAAATAAATGTTTGAACCAGCTGTGTGGAATTGTGAAATCAAAATTCAATTGACAGTTAGTTCTGCTTGTTTACATTTTTAAACTTTGTAGGTTTGTTCTTTGTTACCATGGATACCATCAATCAATATCTACTTTTAAATCTCTCACCTCAAATTTTTGAAAGCCCACGGGGCAGAGCCCTAGGACAATATCGAAGCGGGAATAGTTCTATATGTATCCTCAGAGCTGTAGCTTCATTTGTGTGCAATTTGAGCCCAGTCGGTTCAGTAGTTTTTGAGATTATCTCATACAAACACACACACACACAGACACCACCTCTTCTTTATAATAGTATATAATATAATATACTAGCTGACCCGGCGAACTTCGTATCGCCTAAGTTATAGGTTTCCCCTAAGACAGACCGATGGAAAGAAAGTACCGTTACGTTTAATTTTCAAGATGATCTCGTTCGCATCGCTCAATCACGTCCTGGTTGAAGTTCGTTCGCTACGCTCACTCACCTTTGGGTTGCAGCTCGTTCGCTACGCTCACTCACCTTTAAGTTGGAGCTCGTTTGCTGCGCTCACTTGCCTTCAGGTTAGCTCGTTCGCTACGCTCACTCGCCTCCAGGTTGAAGTTCGTTCGCTACGCTCACTCACCTTTTGGTTGCAAATTAGCTGTTGTCATAAATGTAAAAGAAATAATAGTGCTGCACCCTGTTGGTAATCCTTGTAACTTTAATGCAATTGAACATCATAGAACAGAACCAACTTGTTTAATTGAAACAGCTGTTAAGATTCATTAATTCCATTTCTCATAAGGTTAACATGGGAAACTCCAGAGCCACTGGGGCGGAGCCCTTTTAAGAATTTCGAAACGGGAAATAGTTTACGTCCGATTCGCATACCTACAGAATTTACACACCAAATTTCATAACGATCGGTGAAGTCGTTCCGGAGGAGTTTGCAGACAAACACTGTGACACGAGAATTTTATATATTAGATATATATATATAATATAATAAAATATATATATA